CTCTCTCTTTTTCTGTCTCTTTACCTCTCCCCCGTCCTTCCCTTTTTAGTAAAACTTCTCACTAAGCTGAGCTGTTTGTCCCTCCGCCTCAGTCACCCTTGCCTGCCATGGAATCTGCCAAGGTCCCCCTCAAGCTTTCGTAACAACATCTTGAACATCCTGAAATGTGTTTAGTAAACCCTGTCTCTGAGAGCTGTTGCTCAAGTGAGAGGCTAGAGAACGGGGTTGGAAAGACAAGTGAGGGAGACTAAATGCCACTCGATTCACCCCGAGATGGAATCAAGGATAAAGACCGAGGAGCAAAGCCCACGGCACTACCTCCTGGAGTCACCAACATGCCAGTATCCAGGAACCTAATCATGCATGGCTCCCAAAACCTTCACCACAAACAACTGGGCATGCGCATACCATCTTGTGTCGGGGGCGGGGGAGCCTGTCACTCATCTGAGCAGCCCATGCAGTCATATCTCCTGCATCCCTAACTGGTCCCAAGGGGAAGAGGGGTCACAATTCACCCAGGACTCCCCTCCAGACACGCTGCATTTAGAGCTGCTGTCTGCAGATTTAGGGCTGAATACCGTATGTATCATCACCCCATGTTACTCTTTGACAGCCATGAAGCCAAGTGAGTAGAATGACGCATTTGGTTCGTGGGAGTGGGGACTTCTAGGTCAGTGGAGACTCCAAACCACTCACACCACGTAGACATCAAATTACATGGAAACCATTTGCTAATAGAATCCATACTTATGCCAGATCTAATGATGCACATCTGCAATCACAACATTTGGGATGTAGAAGCTACATGAGTTCAAGGTCAGCCTGGATCATATGAGATCCACTCTCAGAATACAAAGCAGTCTATGTTAACTTAATGATTCATATTCATCAGACACTAAAGTTATCCTTCAGGGCCCCACTGAGAGCCCTCATAACTACAGAGGGGTGCATAGAATCATCAAAACTATTTTAGAAGACAAAACAAAGTTCTACTTGGACTTTCTGTTACTTTGCTAAACTTATTAGCAACCAAAAATTATGTAATTAGCCCCCCTCAAAATATAACAATTTTTAAGAGTCATGTATACATTACCCAGGAAACCTAAATACAGATTGTTGTCCTAAGATATCTGTCAGATTGACTGACAGCCATACAATTAAAAGAGAAAAGTGCACATTCATTAATTAAAATGGCTCTAGAATTCAGCAGTAGGCTTTAAAGCACAGGCTCTCTGGAAGAGGACCTGACAGACACTCTTCCGTGGTCAGACAGCGTAAACAGCATACGATGTGGACAGGTCTCTGGTCTCTGGGGGAGGATCTGAACTGAGGAGTCTTGGAGTCATCTGACCTTCACTGGGGAGTGGACAAGAGAGGGAGGACGAGAGGAGAGGGTACAGTGGTCAAGCCTGGCTGCAGGTGCAGGAGGCCAGTATGTGTGGTCAGCCTCACCTGTTCTGGGGAGGAAGGCAGAGGGAGAAAAAGGCATATTGAGGTATTTTCCCTAAAGGGTGACATCAACAGAATTTTCACTTTGAAGGAGGCACTAGTGACGTAGATGGGTGCCATGCTTTCATGTGCTCTCTTGTCCCTCTCCAATTCTTCTCACACCTGTGCACTTTAAGGCCTCATGGCTCTCTCTTCTGCGTGCCTCTTGCCTCCGTGCTACCTGATAGTTGATGAATTCATCAACCATCCATGATAGCTGATGATCAATCAGCTCATGTATCTTTAACCCCAGGTGTTTAATCTCAGAAATCATTGCCACCGGTTTATTAGTGGCATTGTTGGTAATATGGGTAATACCTTCAGGACAGATGGCCTCCATACTGGTGGTAATAAAGGCTAAAGTGGTGGCATTATTGCAGCCTTCGGAACTTGCTTCATTGTCCAGAGGCAAGGTTCCCCCACCCAGGGATACAGCAGGACCTCCCTTCTTAACCCAGTGGGCCTTGACGTGCTTTGGCAAATGGCTACCCACTCTGCATGATGTTCTTAGGGCAGTCAGAGCAGGCACATTTCTTCTCATCTGTGTATATGTCTCTGCAGCTTATCTGGATGTGTCAAGTGCTTCCCACAGCATGACCAGGAACACACAAACATATCTTACCGCTGTGGTGGTGGAGGCAGTCTCCAGCAGCACAGGGCTTTGATAGGAATCCACCAAGTCATTGGGACTAGACTTTTCAATCTGAGAGGGGTTAGGGAAAAGTCACCCACAAACTCTCTTGATGATTTCCTTCTTTATTCTCTCTCTCCTCTCATTTTTTCACAGCTTTTATACTCCAACAGAATCTTCCAGGCAGTACAAGAGTCAAAACAGTTGCATTCCATTTCTCAGGTGAATAATTATAGGTAAAAGCATGTTTTTCATCTTCCTCACATGATTAAACATTTTATGTATTACAGGTGAAAAATAAATTATCCCAAGAACATACATTAATATCCAAGCAACTTGTTATAGATTAACCATGTGGGCAAGCAAAGTGTTCTCGTCAGGTCTTTTACTGGCCGGATGCATTATAAAGAAAGGGCCAATTATTTTATTACTTATCTTGAAAGTTAATCTTATAAGGAATCTTAAAGGAATCACAAACCTAAACGTACGTACGTACATACATACATACATATTATATATAGGGAGAGTCAGCTCTACTTTAAATCTTCAGGGCATGTATCCATTCATACATACATACTAGGAGATTGAGGGCAGAAATGGATATAAGAAATTAATCATAACCTTTGGTCATCAACCAAACCTAGCAAGGAGAATATGTCAGCCAGTAATAATTGGGCTGCTTTGTTCTTGTTCCCTGACCTTAACGAGTTCCTCATTCAACTGTGTGCCTTTCTAAAACTTTAGATTGTCTTCTTGGGTATTTTGCCTCAAAGCTATTTAACAAAAACATCTTGATGTAACTTATTATTTTCAAAGCTTTGTTTCAGCTGTGACGCACTCTGAGACCTGTGAACACATCTCCTGGCATTAAGGTTAAAAGAATTTAAACTAGCTAGGTCTTTGGTACTCAGTTGTTTTTTTCTTAATCATTAACTTGAGCTACAATCTATGCAGCTCCTTTAGTGAAATTCACAGATCCTGGTTGTGAAACATAACCTTGTATTTATTTTTATTCATCAAAACTCTGTATAAACTCATCAAACTGGATAGTATAGCTTAGAGAGGGATCATCTTCTTGACGATCCACAGGTAAAAACGTGCAGTAGAATGTGATGTTTCTAAGAGATAAACACACAACATTACAGGCAGTGGAGATCTCCCCACGTCCACTCACACGGTGCTAGATACCGGGGAAAGAGAGCTACAGCAAACATGTAAAGGCCCAGAAGAAGCAAAAGACGTTCCAGGGTCTGCAGTCCTGTGGCCTTGCCTAAACCAGATGGACCCATCAGAGGATTCCCTTCTGGTGGGCTGACACCTGGAACTTCCGTTGCAACTCACTGCTCCTCTGGCCCAGCCACCAGCAATGTCCTTTCTGCACAAGCCAGCTCCACAGTACTGGAGGTAGGAGGTCTTGTCACATTTTTTTACCACACCCCAATGTGACAAATGTGCAGTTTGTTTTTGTGCCTGGACCTCCAGAGTCCCACCCTTTGCTGTCTTTACAGTAGAGACAGATACACATGTCCCACTGGGTCCTCTGACCAGTTTGGGGATAGGGGTCAGGGCTGTTTTCTTCTCCACCCAATGTTTCATTGTGTGTCCTATCACCACCAGATCCATGGAGGTCAAGGTGAGCTTGTCATCAACTGGGGCATTTTTGATAGTCTATCCCAGAGGCTTGGCATGGAGGAGAGTTGAGCAGTGTTCACACTGACTATACAGCAGGAATGGAGGCAGCTGAGGCAGTGGGTATCTGAGTGATACTGCCACTGCTATTCTACTCCAAGTAAACAGCCTGCATTGGAGGCAAGGTGACTGGGTCTGTGCATTCTGAACTTGGGGATTTTGCAGCTGCAGGGGGGGGGTGAGAGGTGTCTGCTAACTGACACGTCCCTTGACCCCCTCACTATTGGTGCCCAAGTGATGATGACACCAGAGTCTGGAGGGTTTCCCAGGAAAACAGCTTGAGTTCTGCCCTGATGATGGTGCTGCTTGGAGGGCCCGAAGCTGTCCCCATTGAACTAGCTTAGAGGAGTAAGGGTTTGTGGCTAAGGTGTCTGCAGCTTTCACTGCCCCGCCCCCCCACCCACCGTTTTTGCTGACTCCCTTGCAGTGGCCTTCCCAGCACCCGGTTCCGCTGTATGTTCAGAACACCAGGCACCCATAACCCACTGAGCTGGAGCATCTGGCCTTGAGAGCTGGTTCCTGATTGGCTACTGGTAGTAAACTCCATCATGTCCATGTAGCTGGTGGCGGTGATTGTTGAATGCCTATTGGCTCTGGTGCAAAAGGAGCTGGAACTAGCGTGTGAAGACAGCGGGATGGCAGATCTGATGGAAGTCCCTGAGGTGACGGGCTGTGACATCATCCAGAGCTGACGATGGGAGTCACTGATAGGTAGCATAATATTGCTTCCATTCAGGGCCACGAGTGCACCGGTCACAAACAGAGACTATCAGAGAGCATGTTAGGAGACCTGGAAGGGGACGGGAGGGGGACAGGTCATCACAGCAGCAATGGTGCCCGTTTCCCTGATTTGTCTGCAGCTGGCATGATGGTCATTGAACCAGACCCACCCGCCTGCCAGTGTGCACACATCTCTAAGGACCCTTCCCAGGAAGGGACACAGTACAATTGCAGGAAGAGGAGGGGACAGGTGGGGACAGTGTAGACATTGGGAAGAGGTGTTGTGGTTCTGGTGCCAGGCCCCGGTGTGAGTCACAGAGCTCATGGTGGCTTTGAAAAAAGTGGCCTGTCTCCAGTGCCCCAGGCTGGTGAGAGAGAGGAGTGGGAGCGGGTGCCTCAGCCCAGGGAGGACACTGAGCAGGGCGTTCCTTGCTTGCAGCACTTGGCATTTTGAGGGTCACAGGTGCGGTGTTCCCACGGTCCCTCTGTCCTTGGGCTGTGGGGCCAGCCAGCCTCCCACACGTCACAGATCCTTGCTTAGCCTTAGCGGGGCTCCTTGTAGATCCCAGAGTGATGGCCAGTCTAAATGTGTCCCTCTCTTTCTTTTTTGCCACCTGTGCTCTCTGTGAGGCGGCAAGAAGGGCATCAAAAGCCTTGCTCCCAGCGGGAACCTACGTCAGTTTTTCCCGGGAGGCACTGGGCGCAGCCCAGCTGACAGCCTGCTGCCTAGAGCTGCGAGTGTTGGTGGAACTTGGCCCCTGGGCCGGGGGCTTCGGGCCCGACCTGCTGCTGACCCTGGTCTTCCTGCTCTTCGTGGTGCACGGGGTCACCTTTGATGGGGCCTCCGCCAACCCCACTGTGGCCTTACAGGAGTTCCTCATGGCGGAGGCCTCGCTGCCCAGCACTCTGCTGAAAGTGGTGGCCCAGGTGCTGGGTGCACAGGCTGCCTGCGCCCTGACCCAGCGCTGCTGGACCTGGGAGCTCAGCGAACTACACATGCTGCAGAGCCTCATGTCTGCGCACTGCAGCTCCAGCCTGCGCACGTCCGTGCTGCAGGGCACACTGGTGGAGGGCGCCTGCGCCTTCTTCTTCCATCTGAGCCTCCTCCGCCTGCAGCACGGCCTTCTTGTCTACAGGGTGCCTGCCCTGGCCCTGCTGGTCACTGTCATGGCCTACACAGGTGAGACCTGCTCCCTTTTCTGCTGGACGGGTCAGGACCTCAGTACCTTCCCTGGTACCCTACAGGGGAGTCTGCTGGCCAACGGGTCCCCAAGTCCTTGCCATTTCTTGGGCCCCTGACAGGTGGGTAAGAGCTGGAAGGCTAGACCTGGGTTTGTGTGTAGCTCTCAGAAGACTAGGCTGGCCTCAAACTCACAGAGATCTGCCTGCTGCTGCCTCCTGAGTGCTTGGATTAAAGGCGTGCACCATCACCACCCAGCACCATATATCTGTGACCAAAGGTTATGATTAATTTCTTATACCCATTTCTGCCCTCAACCTCCTGGTATGTATGTATGAATGGATTTTTGTGATTTTGTTTTAATCCCCCTCTGGCTCTGGCCCTCTCTCGGTGTCTCTGCCCCCCCAGCCCCTCGTCCCCAACCTTTCTTTTTCTCTCCCCATATCTCGTGCTGTATCCTCCCCTATCTCTCTGGGCCACCTCTCAGGAGACAGGGAGGGGGTTGGATCAGAGGACTTCTGATGCAGGAGTCTCAGGGCAAGGGATGGCGGAGTGTGTCAGACATGACTGCTGCAAGCTTGGTCCCAGCTGCTCTCCTGTGACCTTTGGCCTTGGCTGTACCAGCCTTGATCCTTTGTGCTCACCAGCACACAACAGGGACAGCAGTTGTCCCCAAGCGCCTGGTGCCAAGAGCCCAATCCTGTGTCCAGCAGTGTGGTCTCAGAGGTGGCGGTTTGATTAACAGCCAGCCCATGAAAATTCTGTGCTTCTGTCCACAGCTGGGCCCTACACATCTGCCTTCTTCAATCCTGCCCTGGCTGCCTCTGTCACATTCCACTGCTCTGGAAACACCTTGCTGGAGTATGCCCGTGTGTATTGCTTGGGTCCTGTGGCAGGTGAGCGGTGGGGGCAAGGCCAGCCTGGGACATGCCCATGGGCAGACACACACACACACAGACACACAGGGCATGGATGGCTACAAATTCACAATGCTGCCACCCTTCCGGCTCCCTGGGACCTTGGGGATTGGGGTGACAAGGATTCAGATCCAGTCTCCTAGTCTCTGCAGTGTGGACAGTTGGAGGAGGTGACTAAGGTGGGCATGTCTTGGTTTGGATTGTCACAGAGGATGGGGAGAGTGTGGCTGTGGAGAATTGGACTCTCCGAGGGCTCTGTGTGGGCAGCAGGGACAGGCTGCATAAGTTCACGCGTCTGGGTTCCTTTCTTCTCAGGGCATCTTCACATACCTAGTTAAAGCTGTCTTTCTGGGTGCTGCCACCACAGGGCTTGTGGGACACAGAGGCCATGCTCGGATAACCCCATACCCTTTAGGGCTTCAGCCCTGGGTGGTCGGGCCTGCAGCCCCTGGCAGGTCTGCCCCGGGACTCTCAAGGGGACCCCCTCCAGTCACCTCGGTTTGAAAGAAGCAGTGAAAGTCCTTGGACTAGAGTAACCCAGAGAAGGCCACCAACTGTCCTTAGCTACAGGATCTGGGAAATTCTGGCTCTGGCAAATTCCTCTCTGGCACTGGGCACAGGTACTAGGCTTCCCCACACTGCCCACGGCTTTAGCAGATGACTCAGGTCCACTTGGAAACGCTCCAATCCTTCCACGTCTACTTGGCAGGACTCAGGATGGAGCCTAAACCCGAGGGGAACGGGGACAGAAGCCCCAGCTGTCCCCATAAACACAAGCTCAGGACGATGGTGAGACATGGTCTCCCCATTGGCTGGCTCTTGGAATGTGATAGAAAGATGAGGCCCCTCTCCTTGCCCCACCTGCCTTGCCCACACCAGCCACTCTTCTGTGGAGTGCTTCCAGTGCACCCCTTGTCCCTAATATACACTGCAAAGCTTCTCTATGATTTTTCAGCTTTAATATACTTGTGTGCATGTGTGTTCATGTGTTCATATATGCGAGTTCACACGTGGCTACACATACGTGTGGAAGCCAGAGGTCAACCTTGGGTGCCCCCCCCCCCAGAACTCTGATTAGCATAGAGTGGTTGGCCAGCAAGCCCCAGGGTTCTTCTTGTCTCTTCCTTCCCAGTCCTGGGATTATAAGTATGTACCACTGTGCCTTGCTTTTGGGGGAGGGTGAGCTTGCAGGCAGGGTCTCTACATGTAGCCCTGGCTGTTCTAGAACTCTTCATGTGGTCTCAAACTCATAGAGGTCCACCTGCCTCTGTCTCCCGAGTGCTGGGATTAAAGGTGTGTGCCACTATATTTGGCTTGCCTGGCTTTTTATACATAGGTGCTAGAGACAAAACTCAGGCCCTCTATGGGTCCAGACTTCTCTTCAAACCTAATATTTCAGTTTTGGCATAACTTTAGGTAGACTGCATCCATGCTCATCCCTCATGATGTGGGGGGGGGGGTCACTCCTCATCCTGTGTGGCCTTGTCCGGCCTTAATACGAGGGGAGGAGCCTTGTCTCAATGCAACTTGGTATGCCACATCTTGCTTATATCCATGGGAGGCCTGTCCTTTTCAGAGGAGAGGGTGGGATAGGGGGCAGAAGGGAGGTGGGAGAGGAAACTGCAGATTGGGATCTCTCTTCCTTCCCTGTCCAGCTGGTCCCTCTGAGAACCCGGAGGAGGTGGGGACTGAGGATACCAGAGAAAGCATGGGGACTGAGCCAGCTTCCCTCTCCCTAGTCCTTCCCAGCCGAGGCATAACCCCTCTCTTTCCCCGTCTTGGGGTTACTGCTGCTGTGATGAAACACCATGACCAAAGAAACTTGGAGAGGAAAGGGTTTATTACACTTACAGTTCCACATCACTGCTCATCATCAATGAACGTCAGGACGGGAACTCACACAGGCCAGGGACCTGGAGGCAGGAGCTGGTACAGAGGTCATAGAGGGGAGCTGCTTACTAGCTTGCTCCCTTTGGCTTGCTCAGCCTGCTCTCTTATAAAATCCAGGCCCACCAACCCAAGGATGGCACCACCCACAATTTTGATTGGGCCTTCTCCCATTAATTGATAATAATTAAGAAAATGGCCTATAGGTTTGCCTACGGCCCATTTTTATGGAGGCTTTCCCCCTGGTTGTTTGTTTGTTTGTTTGAGACAGGTTTCTCTGTGTAGCCCTGGCATCCTAGAACACTGAGACCAGGCTGGCTCAAACTCACAGAGATCCATCTGCCTCTGCCTCCCAAGTGCTGGGATTAAAGACATGCCATCACCAGATGGAGGCATTTTCTTAACTGAGGATTCCTCCTCTACATGACTTTAGCTTGTATCAGTTGGCCTAAAAGTATCCAGCACACACTCCCAAACTTCCGCTCACTGGAAGTAGCCCCGCCCATCACACCACCCTTAGAGGCAGCCCAAAAGAGAGGCTGTAGTAGAGCTTTGGCAAATGGGGTGGGATGCCTGTGTGGGCACCCTGAGTCCTGGGTCCCCAGAGCATCATCTAGAAGCACCCCAACCTCCCACGAGGGCTCCATGTGCTATCTAGGCAGCTTGTGCTGGGCACCAAGAGGCAGGACCCAGAGAAAGGGTATGGCCAGAAAGAGCCAGGCCAGAGCCTGGGTAGGAGCCTTGCAGGGAGGGTCTGGGCTCTTACATCCTTACTGGTCTACAATCTGGTCCCATCTCTTGCAGGGATGATCCTGGCTGTCCTCCTGCATCAGGGCCACCTTCCCCGCCTTTTCCAGAGAAATCTGTTCTACCGGCAGAAAACCAAATACCGAACTCCCAGAGGGAAGCTGTGCCCAGCTTCTCTGGATACCCAGACGCCCACAAAGGAGTATAGTGGCAAAAGTCTGTAGCCTTTATATGCCAGGGTTGTAGCCACTGGGGTCCAGCTGAGCTGTCATGCTCACAGACCCTTCAGTCACCTCCTGAAACTTCTGGGCTCCCCTCCATGGAAACCATTTATCAATAAACAGTTGCTAAGACCCACCCATCTCCCTGGCCTGATGGAAGCTTCTGGAAGGACAGGTGAGTGTGGGTCCCTCTTACCTTTCTTTCCTGATTCATGTTTGCACAGTGATAATAAAACGTAAGGGTGCAAAGACTGGCAGAAAGCCCAGGGTAAGCTAACCTGGGCCTAGCCACCTGGTACCTGGCTGGGGGCCCACAGTCAAGAGAGGCCTAAGATTTCCTGTGGGCCCCAACGATAACGGTGGAGCCCATGATGGAATTTTCACCAACTGTTCCTGGGGGCTGGGTCTGCACAGGGAACCCAGTGCTGCTATTCATTGTTTTCTCCCCTTAGGACACTGGCTTTTCATCCACCAAAGCTAGGCCAGACCTCACCCCAGGAGTTCCTGGGTCAGAGTATGTGGTGAGGTGGGGACTAGAGGACAAAATAGGGGGATAGTTCTGGTTTCCTGGATGCTAGTGAGGCCACACAAGGAGAAAGAAGATCCTTCCAGGCCTTTCCAGGCCTTCCCCTTCACCTTCTCTAAGGCCCCTCTGTCTATCCATTCTGGCAGAGGACCCTGTCTAGAACCCTGAGACTCCTTTTTGTTGTGTGACTAACCTGGGAATGGGTGACAGGACCCTGATTCCCCAAATGGCCCCCGGAAGGGGCTGGAGAGCCAGCTCTGTGTGGCAGGACAGGAGTCCTGATGTGACTGAAGCGTCAGGGTCACAGTCCTATTTCATGATATGGCAGAGCTAGGTCCGTCGTGAAAAGTGAGAAAATAATACATTAAAGTAGAGTGGCTGTACAGGGTGCGGTACACGGAGGATGTAAGAGCCCAGTGTGTTTGTGCTGTGGTGATAGGACATCTGGGAACAGCCTGGAGCTAGTCTAGAAGTGTGTGAGTAATGTGTGCACATGCTTATACACAGGTGCAAATCCACATACACGGGGCAGAGGGGCGGATATCCACTACTTTTTCGGTAGAAATTTATCTCTAGTCTTTGGTGTACTGATGCTTTCTGCACCACCATTTCCAAAACTTTTGAAAATTAACCATTTTCACTATGGTATGTCTGTGAAGGGACATGTTGAGAAGTCTCAAAAATGCCACAGATTAAGATTTGTCACCAAAATAAAATGCATTATTTTTGTGGAAAATAAATCTATTTATTGCACACTTGTTTATCAAAATAGTTTTACTTTGTCCTTCCTGCCTCCCCTCTTACTTTCCAAAAATGGGTTTGGAAAACTGATTTCCTCTCTATGAGAGAGGAGGTGAGTAAGGATTGCAGAGCAGAGAGGCAGCCTACCAAATCTACACTGGAGGCGGAAGACAAAAAAGTAAAGTTAAAGAAAATGAAGGACGGTCTGACCTGGAAAGCTAATCCAGATCTGTTCCTTAGAATTTGCTAAGTTCCCCTCACAAGGCCCTGAGAGAACAAGATACCAAGAATTCACACTGCCCCTCCTTTCCTGTGAGTCAGCAGGTGGTTAATAGAGTCCTTTGGAAACAAAGAGATAGCTGCAACTCCAGTTTGCACAGACAAAATTAATTAGCACACCCTGAGGCCTTAAGGTCTATTGATCCTAATAGGGAGACCATCCAGCCTCAAACGGTCACGTACACAATGGACAGAGGGTCCCACCCCTCCCTAAGCTTGTGAGTTTGCCTTTAAAAACACCTGGGGGGGGCTTCTCTCTAGCCTGCGTGCTGGAGGAGCCCATTTGCGCAAACGTTTCCTGTTCATTAAAGCCTCTTGCATGTTGCAGCAACTGGACTGGACATTGAGTTCTTGGGGGTACCAACCGAAATTGGGAGACTCCTCATTCTGAGGGTCTTACAGAGGAAGCCAAGTGGCCATGGGCAATCTCTTCAGGAGATACACATGACTGTCTGTGGGGACAGTCCAACCCCAGTGCCTTCTGCAGAATTCTGAAATCAGGGTGTTGGTGCCTGAGCTTGGGAAAGGGCTGAGTCAGGCTGGTGGGCGCTCAGCCTGGGTGGTCCTCTGTCCCAGCAGGCATAGTCTGTAGAATCTCTCCCTTCTAGTCGCTGATGGACCAGAAGGAGGTCCACAGCCTCTCCACTGTGTTTGGTGGGTTTGTAGTTGTTTACAATTTTTTTACATGAGTCTGACATTATTTACATCTTGAAAATTGCCCTACATCAAATTTACATTGTTGCTTAATTCTTTTGAAATGAAAAGGTGGACATGAGCCGTTTTAGGGACCCACAGATACCAAGTGACTGCCAACAGGCTCTGGAATACCTAGGCGTGGAATCTTGAGTCAGACCTCAGGCCACTGTCCCCCAGATGGTGTCCAACCGTTGAGCACTGTGACCCTGTACCCTGTGTATCTTCTTCCTTCTCCTGGGTCACAGGAGCCACTCCTGACTAGACAATTCTCCCTCCATGCTGGTTCCTCAATATGGGCCCCACGTGGGCAACCCTCTCAGGCCAAGCGTTCAACTCTTGATTCCTGTTTCTATAACTGAGAGAACCTGGCAGGAGACACTCACCCTGAATCAGAGGGAGGCCACTGTCAGCCCTGCACATAAAATCATCTGCCTTGCGCCCTGCAGGAATCTAGGCTTGCAAAGCCTTTAGGGCACTTGGGGCAGAAGAGCCCAGGATCACCATTCCCAAGTCCTAAGCTACTCAGGCCAGCCCAGCCAACCAACAGGGGTCCCTGGTTCCCACCTTCCCCTTCTAGGTCCTTTGCCTTCTCCACATCCCATGTTCTGCTATTCCAGAGCCTGACTTGGGCTGAAGAGAGCCTAGTTTTGTTCAGCTCCTCTGTGGATAGAACTCAGGACCCTAAAGCCAGGGCCCAAGAGGATCCTGAAACCCCATCCTATGGAGTAGGGCCCTGTGCTATCTGCCCCCCCCACCAGATGACTCCAGACCCAGACCCTTTTCTATGAAAACTCTTGATGCCTGGTGGCCTCAAAGCTAGTCCTGCTCAGTCTGGAGGATCCCAGTCACAACATAGCTTTCCAGAGTGTCTCAGGGCCATGTTGCACGTCTGGGAATCTGGACACCAGCTTTAGAGTACCTGGTAGGGTCACACACAGGCTGGCCAAGCCAAATGAATTCAGGGCTAGATTATAACACGATGACTTAGATCAGGAAGCAAGGCTAGTCCATGCCCTGTGATGCCTTCTTGGTCTCCACCAACCACGAACCTAGAGCCTACCAATCCTGAGACCCAACACTCCCACCTCAATATTCCAGACTGATGCAGTCACACCTCAGGCTGGTGCAATATCATCTGCAGCCAGAGGGTGGCACCACAGGAGACTCCAGGACACATCTCTCCTTCCCCAGGGTCCTAGCCGACTGGGTATCTTGGAGGCTAACACTTGCAGTCACACAGATCCCATCCTCCGATGGGAAATTGAGCCAAAATGGACTGCCTTTTCTCTCAGAGTTAAATAAGGCTCACACACACACACACACACACACACACACACACACACACACACACACACAGAGAGAGAGGGAGGGAGGGAGGGAGGGAGGGAGGGAGAGAGAGAGAGGACACCTGACAGAAATTGAAATTCCTACAGAATCAGCATTTCTTGAAATCAGAATATATGCTAAAGTTTCCTTTCTGCCCAGAAACTGTGCAGCTCTGTATTAGCCAATCACCTAAGGATGTGAGGAAGGTTGTTGGTTGATGACCACCAGAGTGAGGTACTGAACTCTTGGCTTGCTGACAATACTTTGGACTGTGTATTCATTTTCTTGAAGCCCAAGATTGCTTTCTTTTTCTTTTTCTTTTAAAAACCATTTAAGTTTATTTTACATATATACATATCGACCATAGTTTCCCCTCCCTGTCTCCCCCAACCTTCCTTCTGCCCACCCACCCATCCATTCCTCCTCCATGTTCATTCTGAAAGGGGCAGGCTTCCCATGAGAGTCACAAAGCCTGGAACATCAAGTTGAGGCAGGACCGAGCGCCTCCCACTGCATCAAGGTTGCGTGAGGCACCCACCATGAGGAATGGGTTCTCAAAAGTCAGCTCACGCACCAGGGAAAGGTCCTGATCCCACTTCTGGGAGCCCCACAAACAGACCAAGCTACACAATTGTCACACCCATGCAGAGCGGTCAGGCCAGCCCCATGCAGGCTCCCTAGCTGTTGGTCCAGAGTCTGTGAGTTCCCACGAGCTCAGGTCAGCCGTCTCTATGGATTCCCCTCTCATGACTTTGACCTGGCTCATACAATCCTTCCTCTCTCTCTTCAGCAGGACTCCGAGCTCAGCCCAGTGTTTGGCTGTGGATCTCTGTATCATCTTCCCTCAGTTACTGAATGAAGGCTCTCTGATGACAATTAGGATAGTCATCAATCTGCTTAGATGGAAGGCCAGTTCTGGGACCCTCTCCACTGTTGCTAGGAACCTTAGCTGGAGCCATCCTTGTAAGTTCCTGGGAGTTCCCCAGGTTTCTTCTTAGTCCCCAAATGGTCCCCTCATTAAGAAGTCTCTTTCATATTCTCCCCATCCCCATCCTGTCAGTCATACTCCCTACACACCCACCCAACCTGACCCCTTGTGCTCCCATATCTCCACGCCCCCTTCTCATCCCCCAGCGCACCCAGAAGATCTATTTCCCCTTCCCAGGGAAATCCATGTGCCGACTCATTTCTTATACTCCTGTGAAATCACCAGTACAATGGGGACCCCAAACTCCTAGCCCATCGAAATATCGGGCCCTGTGAGTGAGTGAGAGCCTCACTTCAGTACCTCAGGGAAATTTTAGAGACCTGAGACACACCCTGTGGACCAGATGTTCTGAGGGACCACATCCAAAAGGCTGCCGAGGGGAGGGGTGAGGAGCAGCAGCCTAGCGCCTGGGACTCACAGGCAGGGAGTAGGCTCAGTCAGTACTGAGGGAAGCAGGTGGACTCAGAGCTAGTACCCTCTTGCCCTTCTCGCTCCTCAACGCCCTCTCACCATCTGCCTTTTTGACTCCCAAGCCGCCCTCTCCCCTCCTTACCACCAGGGGCCTGGTACCATC